TGGAGATGAGGAGTTACGGTGACAGAGTGGAGCTTGAGTGGTGTCATATCTCAATCACCAGTGAGCCTGAGTGAGGTATTTTCTCTCTATGTTCCTCCACTTGATTTCACATCAAATCACTAGCTATGGGAGAAAGAAAAAGGAATGGTAACTTTCCAAGTAACAGAAGGCTCTTGCTTATGGGAAGGGAAGTACCTAAGAGATGGAAGGAGAGTGAAAAATACATCTTTCAGCTATTGAGACAGTATACATTGTGGATTATCTGTAAACGGCGATGTCAATGGGTGATTGGCAAAAGTCTGATGACCAGGATGGAAGCCAGAGCCATACTCTATAATCTATTGGAAACAGACATTAGGGCTCAATGGCAGAGGATCAAAATGCAAGCAGCAGCAGTAAACCCTGAAAAGGCGAAGGCTATCCTCACGAAATTTCAGAATAAGGTATTGGCCAGTGGCAAAGTTGCGACCATAGAGGGACAGAGACTGATTTTTCATTGGTTTACAAAGGAAAGATTCTGATTCAGAGGTGTCCTTGGGGGTCCAAAGAATGCCACAGGAAATAGGACTACCATAGGGATAGGAGATGGGAGAGAAAGTGGAGGTCAGTGGATTGATGTTTAAGCAAAATAAAAGCTATAGTTAAGGGTTTAGGGTTTAGGGTTTGGATAGACTTACACAAACAGGGTTTGGAATGGTAATGTTTTTCAGGAGGATTTCATGAGGGACACACAGATTATGCTCTTACAGCTTATACACAATTGATAAAAAAAAAAAAAGAAGAAGAGAGGGAAAACGTTACAGAAAAGAAAACAGATCTAACTGGACATCATGAAACAGATAAATCAGGACAGCATTAAGACCAAGGGTTTAGGGTTTAAGGCATACTTGCGGCGCATTTGTGCGGTGCGCAATGCGGTGCGCTGCGCCATGCGGACTGCGCGCGCACGTGCGCGAAAGTGCGCACGAGGTGCGCCGTGCTCGCAGCGCATGGGGACGCGCTACCCCTGCGAGGTGCGCACTGTGCGCCATGCCTCTTTTTTTTTTTCTTTTTTTTTTTCTTTTTTTTTTT